TCGTCTGTATAGGTGCACGTTTAACTATGGCCCCATACAATGGTACCTGCAAATATCAAGTCAAGACAATTTTAAAACTAGCATTAGAAAAAAATATTTGTTGTGGAAAATTGTTCTCGCTTTTATACTGCACCCATCAAACGGTTCCACCCACTTTAATGTATTTCAAAACTTTAACTAAATTTTTAACCGATCTCCGATTTTATGTGTATTTTGCATACAAATTAAAAAAAAAAACTTTTAATTATTAAGGAGCGATAGTCTACAAATAAAAAAAATATTTTCTCTGATTTTGTTTTGATCTCGAATAATTTGTTGTGTGACAACTTTGGCGTTTAGTGTTTTTAACTTGTCTTGTCTTAGACATGATAACTGCAATTATTAAAAAAAAACGTTTAGATAAATAACCAGCAAAGCAACGAAGCATGCTCAAGTGATTTAATTATATGAATTATGTTTAATTTAAAAACACGGGTTCATTAGCCTAATAACCTCGCCTTTGAAATATTTAATGAATTCCTAATGACGCCTTTTATGTAATTGAATGAGGAACATATATTAAACATAAAATATAAAATTACAGACAAATCATTGTTGAAACATATTTATTAAGTTATTTATTTATTTTTATTTTATTTTTTGGTTATTATATGTATTATTTATAATTATTTTATTCTAATCAATATTATTTCTTATTTCATCTGCATATTATTTTTTGAATGATATTTATGTGCTTCATAATCGTTGATAAAAGTTAAATGTCATGGCATACTTTTAGGGATATATTGAATATTAGTGATATTAGGGGTACTCATGAATGTTTAAGAAATTAAATTTTTAATATTATTAAATAGATACATAATATTAATCCTTTTATGATATCGGAATATTTTGAAAAAATACTGATTACTTTAATTATGTTAAGTACTTGCACTGATCCAGCGCGGCTAAACTTGAATATCAATCAGTAAAATTTTACGCAAATTTATTCCATTGCTTCCAGAGGCAAAATATATTTCCATTTATCACATAATAATAATTTTGTTTTAAAAGTTGCATTTTTTGCTACAATACATTTCATTGTATGAAAATTAAATTGTGGTATTCCCTTCTTAAATAAATCGTAGATAATGTTGAGATATTTATTAAATCGTTAAATGTTTATCAGAGTTTGGATGATTTCTCACATTTGAAGTTATGAAGTAAAATCAAATCTTTTCTAATTGAGGTTTCCCTAAATCCGCAAATATATAACAAGCCTTATATTTTCCTAAGAACTCGACGCAAACCAGTAATAATAGACTGTAGTCTGATGCCCTATCCCAGCCTTACATGCAACCTTAAAAAATTAAATTTATTTTTATTTCATTGTAATTAAAAGAAAATGTGTCCAGATTTATTTGAAGGACGCATAGCAAGAAAGTTGTAGAAAAAAAAATATTTTTTATTATTTTGAAGCAGTCACTCCGAACCAAATTGAATGAGATAAAACCCAATATACAGAATGAGTCAGAGTTTGGGAGATTGGGAGAAAATTTTAAATTAGATTCATTTAAAATATGCGTTTATATATTAAGAAAATTTCCAAATTTCTGCGGCCAAAATGTTTGCATGACCAAGGCTTTAATACACCCTCAAGAATATTTTCGCGATAATATTCGGCATTAATTCTGATGCCACGGTCGATTAATACGATCGGAGATCGACCATCGGCTGGTATGGCGGCCCACACCATTACCATGGCCGGCGCTTGAGTTCTGGTGGCCAACCGAAGGTACACTTTTTAAGCTGACCTCTGACATACTGCTGGAAAACGAATGTCAAAAGTCTCAACGGAGAAAACCAAATTCGGCAATTCACAACTTTCGGCCAAGCGAAGCAACTCTTTACCTCCTTTGAGTCTATTTTCATTCTGTTGCGGTGCAAGTTCTTGCACCTTTTGGAATTTCAATGGTTTTACCCCGAGCTCATTTTCCAATATTTGTCAAATGGAATGTTGCGATGTGTTCAGCTCACGATCCATTTTTCGTCCACTGCGACGCGGGTTTCGATCAATTCGCTTCTTTACTTTTCGAACCATTTCTGCAGATGTTGCTGTTTTCTTCCGTTCACTTCCTTGACGTCCCTGGAGTGCTCTAACGATAGCCACAAAGGACTATAATACTTATATTTTTCTAGTTCCATTGAAATTAAATTACCTTGCTGGTTACATCATATGTAACCATAGTACACATCATCTCTAGCAGCTCTTGTCTTTGAAACTTATTTTAAGATTTTCATTCAATCGTTTTCATAAGAATATAAATTTTTTCGGTTTTCGACAGTAACTCGTTGACCACTCAATGTATTTCAGTTAAAAACTCAATTGCTTTCCAATGCTGATGTGATTCCATCCATGTGCATTTCAGCAGAACTACTTACCGCTACAGTAGATCTGAAGTGCTAATTCGTGTTGTTTCAATGAGGTTCTTAACTATCAATCCAGATTCCTAACATTTTAGATATTTTGTGAATAGCACGACGTTGACTTAATCCAGACTAAATGTCAATTGGTTGCAATTGTGTTTAAGCTCATTAAGTTTCGCTTATGAGTTTAGAGCTGCAGCAATTGAATTTCTTTTAATTGTAGCAATGCACAAAAAATTATTTGCAAAATTAAGTTATATTTTTTGTAATCGTTGTTCAGGTGCCCGAGGCATTCCATGCTAATATCGTTTCTATTAGATGCTGGAGAGTATATTAATACTGTATTTTCGTTTGCAACGCATATAAATATACTTTATACATTATGTAAATACGTTTTTTATCAGATTGGAATTCTATGACGATTAAGATAGGTTCTATATTTAGGAGATCATCAAGCGTTTTTAGGCATGTAAAGCATCTGCACTAGATAATGTGTTTTCGGCTTTGCCTCTAAAGATGATTACGTCCAAAACTCAGCAATCATTTTTTATACCCTCCTCCAAAGTAGGGTATATTAACTTTGTCATTCCGTTTGAAACATCCATAAATATTCGTCGTAAGTAATATATATACCATGATAAGCATAAAATTCTAAATTCTAAGTCGAATTAACGATGACTATCTGTCCGTCTGTTGAAATCATGGTACAGCCCATAACTTGACCTAGCTGTTAAAAATTTGCGCAACAATGTGCATTGTGTCTAGGATATTTGGTATTGAAAATCAGATATATTGATCTACTTTCTGGTATAGCCGCCATATAACGATACCTCCCGATATTCCATATTTTGATGATTTTCGTCATATTTTTCCACGGATCTGTCTAAAATGAGGTATTTGTAGTTCGTAATGGGTTCTAGCTTCGGTGGCGGAACATTGTATGTATAGCTCAACGTTTTCGTATAACCCCCTATAACAGTACCTCCCAATTTTCGATATTTTGATAATTTTTGCCTCGAATTTCTACGAATTTGTCTAAAACAAGGTATTTGTAGGTTCTAGCTCCGATAATCGGTATTTTGATAATCCTATTTTTATTTAATCCTATTTTATTTAAGAAGATTTGAAATATAAAATTGTCTATGGAGGTTCCCGATTTGGTATGGCCCCCATATAACGACTCCACCAACTTTATGCTATTTTTAAGCTTCTTTCTGGTATTTGTAGTTTAAAGTGGAACACGTGTGAATTCGGATACTTTTATATAAAAATGTTTTCTTTACCCATTAAAAGTTCAGCCCGGCCTAAATTAATATATTTTTTATTTGTTTAACTAAGTAATGTATGTATTAAGCACATTAGTGCCCCGATGAAAATGAAAAGACTGGCTTGCTACTGCTGGGGGCTTGCCAAAGTGTTGTTAGTGATTTTCAAAATCATTTTCTCTCCTCCGACTAACTGGCTCTCATTAAGTTGAGTGGTCTGTAATTCATTTACACTGGCTCGTTGTTCCACAGAGTCTTAGGCATGTTGGACGGCAGCTCAAACTGTTTCCTGTTTCCTAGTAACTATCCACCTTAGAACGCCCGGACAGCTACTCCCGGAAATACCAACGTTGAGCTGTCGAACCCGAACAACCTAAGATAACCTTGTCATATTCAATATCTCTACAGTAAACTGCACTCCCATTACGATTTTATCACGAATCCCCAACCGTCTCAGAAGACCTTGACACCAACACATCAACCACCTATATCGTAAATTCTGAATATCTACCACTCGTCAGCTTGAAGAACATTCATCCAAGTTCCCGATTATCTTCTAATCCTCAACATCCCGAACGCCGACATCTATCTAGACACCAACATCGTCGACCAGCGATGGTTATTAAATAAAGTCTCTTATTACCTTCAAATTATCCATATCCCGAACACCGACATCGATTCCGACATATCATAATTCCTGATTACATTCAACACGACGACAAACGACTGCCATAATCAAAGTTTCCCCTCAAATCGTCCCTAACGCTAGGGTCACTATGAATACGAACATCGTAATTCTGTATCTTGCTCACTTCTGAACATCCGACGATCATCCACGTGTACCCGAATACCTTCAAATTCTCTGTAACCTGAACATTATTCCCGGCTAATAACACTTCACATCAACCACTCGAGGACCCATAGTGAACTATACCGGGTAGTTCACTTTACAGTATTGCTCCCGATTGTCCTCAAATCATTCACCTTGTCTATATCAACCCTTTAATCAGCGAATGCCTACGAGACATCGCAAACAAATAATTTCTGATCATCAACTAAACAACTCTACTTCTCCAGCATCTCAGTAGTCAATTAGACATCCCACATTTTATATTCATCTTATCGCATTTAAACACTAGTGGATTGTAATTTAGTATTTAAATCAATAAAACATAAAATAAGCGCAAGTTGAAAAAACGTTAGATTGCGGACCTACACACATTTGTGTGTAGGCCATATGAAATAAATATGAAAATCATATCATATAAATATGAAAAGAAAGCACACTTGATGTAGATTATTGTTTTAATATCTTGTACTTCGAAATGTTTATCCAAAGTTTGCACCAGAAAGAGTTCCAGATAACGCAAAAGCAATACTGCCACTATTTCCACCGCCATAACCTCCTGGATAACCACCTCCATATCCTCCAGGATATCCGCCGCCATACCCTCCAGGATATCCGCCACCGTATCCACCAGGATATCCCCCATGTCCACCGTGACCACCTGGATGGTGCCCATGTCCGTGGTGGCCACGAGCCTTGCGTATCGCTATTGCATCAGCGTCTACAGCCAAATCGACATCGACACCTGCCAAGGATTCAGCTTCTATTTTTTCATCTGATTGAGAATAAACAACGGCGATCATGACTGCCGAAAACAATAGAATTGTGGCGAATCTCATGTTGTTCCCGAACGGTTGGCTTCTCAGATAGAAAGGGTTACACGAATTCCACAATGCAAATGAAATGCATTTTTCAATCAATTTGTTTTTTATACAATTCCATTTTGTGTAAATCCGGTGCGACCAGGTATTTAAAATGATTTTTACACGATTCGAGTTCTATTGGTGTTACAGACAAAATCTAATTAAAATATTAGATAATTAAAAAAGGAATATTGTTTGGCACAAAAGCAGTATCACATAGAAATATTGAACCGATTTGGGGTTAATATCCTTTTTTGTCATTCCCAAAGTTGTTTTTATGCCGAAAAATTCTTTTGTTTTGCAATCACACGTGTTCTTGAAGATAAATCAAGGTCTTTGTTTCTTTTTGTCACTCTAATTGTATCTAGTAATACCTACTAGAAATTGAGCTCACATCTTTCTCTACGTTTTATAATATGTCGTCCTTATACTAGATATTCAAGTTCTAAGGGTATTGGATAGAATTTAGCATTTAAGTTGTTCATTGGTTTCATTGACAGTTCCCACTTTTGACAGCTGGTTTGAAGAAGCTCTTACAATATCTCAAAATCTCAATATTTTGAGGATGAATGCCTATACTCTAAGTCCTATGGCTACAAAGAGAATTTCGGAATTGTCTATAATTTGAGTTTTCTTTAAAAAAAATAAAAATGGGTAGAAAAAATGAGATCTGCAAATATGTTAGCGTTAATAACACCATGCGAAAAAGTTCAATACATTTTCAATAATTACAGGGTAAATTCAACAAATTATGAAAGTAAAGCTCAAAATAAAATACATGCGTTACGAAAGGTTACGTCGCAAAGTAACCTAAATAGAGGGGAAGGTTGCCTCCTCTCTCATATTTACACCCTACAACACTATGTGTTGGGGGTATTATAAGTTTGATTGGGCCAAAAATTATGTAACACCACGAAATATTGGTTTCCCACATAGGAAAGTATATATGGATCTTCCTAGCTCGCCGAGCTGAGTCGATCTAGCTATGTATGTCCGTCCGTCTGCCCATGTTAATTTGTAATCACTCTACAGGTCGCAATTATAGTCCGATCTTCACAAAATTGAAAATGGAGGTGGGGTTATGATCAGAATAGAACCCTATTGCTTTTATAGATGATCGCATAATATTTAGGGGTTGAAATGGACCAAAAACTGAAAAATTTCCTGATTTTCGCAATTATGGATGCCCTCTTGGCATAAAAGTATAAAATCTATAAAAATCGCATAAAAAGATTTCAATAATGATGTTAATATAAGATTTGCAGTATTTTGTGACATTTTTTATTTTTTCACATTTTTTATCGCATGCGATATTTTCAATTTGACTTATAATGTTGAAATGTACATTTTGTAATATTTTTTCACAAATAGAAACCAAAGGACACGAAATCTCGCACGAAGTTAGAGTTTAGGACAGCGAGTAGAATGGACCACTACTTTTGTGTAAAAAATACCAGCATTGCTTACAGGCGATATCCGAAATACACAAAAGCCGAACTTCTGGCTTTTTATACCCTACAACACTATGTGTTGGGGGTATTATAAGTTTGATTGGGCCAAAAATTATGTAACACCTCGAAATATTGGTTTCCCACATAGGAAAGTATATATGGATCTTCCTAGCTCGCCGAGCTGAGTCGATCTAGCTATGTATGTCCGTCCGTCCGTCTGTCCGTCTGTCCGTCTGTCCGTCTGTCCATGTTAATTTGTAATCACTCTACAGGTCGCAATTATGGCCCGATCTTCACCAAATTTAGAATGCAGGTGGGGCTAGGGTCAGAATAGAACCCTATTTCTTTTGGAGATGATCGCATAACATTTAGGGGTTGAAATGGACCAAATACTGAAAAATTTCTTGATTTTCCAGTTGCTCTACAGGTCGCAGTTATAGACCAATCGACACGGAATTTCGCATGTAGCTAGAGTTTAGGGCGGGGAAGAAGCCTACCAATTTGGGTGGTCATCGGATAATGTTTAGAGGGTAAAATAGACCATATCTTTTGTGTAGAAAAAATGCAAAATTTTTCATTAAACCGCGAATATTTTAAATCCCGGCGAACTCACAAAGCCATGACAAGGTTACTTCTGACCTTTACATTGATGTTAACATCCAACAAATCGGATATATAGCAAAATATGTGCGATATATATGTTTATCAAAGAAGATATGCTTGAAAAATCTCTTATATGTCGAAAACAGCTGAACTGATTTCGACAGTTCTCATTAATTCAGAATGGCCTCTTGGCAGGAAAGAAAAAACGTCTAAAAAAATCGCATAAAAATATCTCTCTAAAGATGAAAATATTGGTTTTGTAACATTTTCTCATATTTTTTCAATTTTGTCATATTTTTGGCATAATTTTATTTTGAATTAAACATTTGGTAATATTTCTACAGCTAACAAAACTAAGTAGTTAGGATATCAGGATATCATATACAGATCACATTTATGGCCCGATCATTACAAAATTTTGCATGGGGATAAGATGAGGGTCAGAATAGAAGCCTACTCTTTTTGGAGATGATCGCCATATATTTAGGGGTTGAAATGGACCAAAAAACTGCAAAATTGTCAGCCGGTCGTATTTATCGCCTGATCCTCACGCACATTTGAATGGGGGTTACCGGACATTGCAAAAGCCAAGCAGTTTTGGATGGCCATCCAAAAATATTCAATGTGTGAAATAGTTTGCCAACTTTTGTAGACAAAATACAAAAATGTCCATTCCAGTGACTTTTTGGAGAATTCACAAATAAAGGAAAGACGCACTTCTGACTATTTCGTTAACGCTGATTTCGTTGAAGAATATAGTCAAATGGCTGTATCTCATATAGATGCGTTTCAGTCAAAAACCAATAATAAATGTTAATCTTTTGCCACTTCTGAGAGATTATAGGTCTTTGGGAAATATTAGTTCAGATCTAGGAAGACCATTTACGTGCAACATCTATCAATAAATTGGAAATGAGCAAATTAGTTATTCGAAAATTAGAGAACGAAACCTAATGTTTTTCTTTTATTATTTGTCACAATATCTTGTGGAATTCTTTCGAGTATCTCGCATATATAAACTGTATCGTTTTTTATAGTGTTGTAGGGTATTCAACGGTCGGCCCCGCTCGACTGTAGCCTTTGCTTACTTGTTTATGCTGATTTTGTTGACGAATATAGCCAAATATCGTAGACAAGCAAATCATACAGATGAGTCTAAATTTAGAGACACAGAGGGGCCTCTTGCTTTTGGAGATGATCGCAAAATATTTAGGGGTTCAAATGAACAAAGAACAGAAAAAAATTCCAGATCACACAATTGAAGCCAATCGATACGCCTGAGAAGAGAGTTAAGGACAGGGAAGAATTCTAGCATTTTTGTTGGAAAATGGACGACAACAACTAACTGTATGACGGAGTGCTTAAATATTGGGCAAATGTCCCTGGTCAAGTTCTCGTGACATAATTTTAAAATCGAAATATTCCAAAATTGATCTGTATATAAGGGGGCTTCTAACATGTTGTAGTGTTGTAGGGTATCACATGGTCGGCCCACGACTATAGCCTTTTTGGATTAAAAATCCATGAAATCCGTCGATATTAGGTAGTTAGTGTGTTCGGCAATATTGCAGATAAAGACACGATAATTACTTTGGCCAACAATTTTTGACCCTAAAGGAAGGGGTCTCTCTGGACATTTATTTTAAATGTGGTTAAAAACTCCCATTAAATGGGATCGTAGCATTTTGCTTTTTTTATGTACAACCGACATAGACAAAAAATAGGGCAATATAGGGTCGCTTTTTAAAACAGCGCTTATATATTGAGATACAACCTCAGCTTATTTATTGCGAAAGCCTTTTGTTCGTATTTTCTAATCGATATGGTTGTAAAGTTGAATTGATTGGGAATGAAAACTTAAGATTTACCGTTTTAAAGGGGCTTCCCCCAAATTAATATCAATATTAATAACCTTCTCTTGGTAGCAAGATTTTTTATTAACAAAGTTGATGATATTTTTTCATAATACATATTGTATATACAAATTTTGGCAAAGATATTTCTGAGCTGTATTTGATATATTTCCCTGAATATCGTTGTTACGGAGTGCATATTACGGCTGTGGGTAACATATACAATATGGGAGCTATAGCTATACCTTAACCGATCTTCACCAAATTTGACATACTAGCTTCTAAACTCAATTCGGTCGTATATGCCAAATTTCATCCCATTTGGGCAAATATTAGACGTTTGGTGCACAATAAAAGGTAAATCGGACGAAGTTATATCCAAATCTGAACCGATCTCGATAAAATTTGGCAAAGGTATTTCTGAGCTACATTTGATATATTTCCCCAAATATTGTTGTTACTGTATTGTTATTACGGCTGCGGAGGACAAAACTAACAAATCGGATGAACAATATATATTGGAGGTATAGCTATATCTGAACCGATTTCGATCAAATTTGGCATACTTATGTTCAGGCCTAATTTGGTTGTATGTGCAAAATTCAATACTATTCGGGCCGATATTACACGTTTGGAGCACAATAAAAGGCAAATTGGACGAAGAAATATATGGGAGCTATATCAAAATTTTTACCGATTATCTCCAATTTCAATAGGGTTCGTCCTTGGGCATAACAAATGATTTATGCAAAATTTCATCTGGATCAGGTAATAAATGCGAACTGTACTTTGTTTGCAAAAATACATGGACAGACGGACGGACATGCATGAATCGAATCAGAATGTGATTCTATGCAGATCATCAAAAGGAAGTATGGGTCTATCTCGTTTCCTCTTGCCTGTTACAAACAAATGCACAAAGACATAATACCCTGACCACCTTGTGGTGTAGGGTATAAAAAAGGAAATATTTAGTGTTTTTTGGAAACATTGAAGCAAATATTTTCAAATAGAGATTTCTTTAGTGACTTACAGCGAAATTTTATAAAAAATATATATGTCTTTAATGTCATCCTCCAAAAAGTATGATTTTTGAATATTTTTACATAAATTCACCCTAACCCTAAAATTTGATTTTAATTCCTGGCTTCTAGGTAAGATTTATATATATATATATATATATATATATATATATATATATATATATATATATATATATATATATATATATATATATATATATATATATATATATATATATATATATATATATATAGAATTTTATGACAAATAGTTTTGTAGAATATCTTGAATTGCTACGATTCTGTTTAAAGGGAGTTTTTAGCAATTTTTAAAACCATATTTTCAAAAAGAATCAAAATGTCCCCTATGGTGAGGTTAATATATTCAAGCAAAATAATCCTCGTGTTTTTCTCCGCAATATTGCCGGAGACTCTATATTCCGGAAATTTCCCCCTTTATTTCGGTTAATGTGTGGGTCCAACTTTCTAAACGCCAATACACATATCTTCTTTCTAGCTCTACTTTTTAAAATCTGCTGCATTTTTTCTGTTTATTTTTTGTGTTACACAGCGTTATTTAGCACCTACAGAACATTTTCGAATTGCTTCAGACTTGCCAACGAAACATGGCAACACGTTGTATGACATTATACAGATTTTGTAAATTTCAAATTCCAGTACTTGCACAACTAGATTTTAATCACATTAGAGTAAATAAAATGAATTTTTTTGATGGATTTTGTCAAGGATATTAACACCAAGACTATGTCTTTCTTTGCAACAAAAACACGATTACGTCTCTACTCTGACTTAAGTGTCTGGGCACTAGGACGTTATCGGCTCCCCTTTTCAATTTAACTAACTAGTCACATCCAACAACTGCTATTGATTTTTGTATGTAAAATGAAACACACTTTATTCAATTGTATTTAAATTTTATTAATTAATTTTACTTTAAAATTGGTCAACCGTAAAAAGAGCCGGAAGATGAACCAGCCTGTGCAAAGGCGTTGCTGCTGCTGTATCCACCACCATAACCTGGATATCCACCATATCCTCCTGGATATCCGCCATAGCCACCATATCCTCCCGGATATCCGCCATAACCACCATATCCTCCATATCCACCTGGATAGTAGCCACCTCCGTAATAACCACGAGCTTTGCGCACGGCTCCCGTATCAGCATCTACAACCAAATCGGCATTGACGGCAGCCAAGGATTCAGCTTGGACATTTTCAACCGGCTGGCAATAGGCTACAGCGACGAGGACTGTCACAAACAATAAAACTGTGGCGAATTTCATGTTGCACTCGAAGAACGATTTCTCTCAAAGATAACGTCGGTTACACAAATTTCACGATACTGATGAAGTGTATTTTTCCAACGAATCGTTTTTATACGTTTCAATTATTGTAAATCCGGTATTACCATTCCGGTAGAATGAATGTGTATTGCATTTAATACAAATTCAGCAAATTCAGTTATTACAATATTAGATTAATTGAACGTAAGTATGGCTAGGCACAAAAAACACATGCCAGCATCAGATAATTCAATAGATTTGGGGTCGATGTGCCGTCGTTCATTCAGAAAAAAATACATTTTTTTGAAAAAATTCTTTTGTCTCATTATCACAGGTAGTCATGACGATAAATAAATACGTCTACATTTTTTGTATCCTTGTTTTGAAGATTCTCATCACAATGAAATCTCATTGAGCTTTTATATCTTCGTCATTTTAAATTTTAATAAGTTTTTTTCTAATAGGTTTTTTTTTCTAATGCCCTAAAGATTGACTTCTCTCTAAATTCTGAATCAGTTTAACCTTTTCGGTCAACTTGTATTCCGATACAGACCATTTAAACATTATATGATTGACAATTCTAGTAAGAAGATAAAAGTAGAACTGTCATTTAAAAACGGAGCTAAGTTCCGCTGAAAAATTCAATTAAATTTTTTAAATATGGAATATGGTGTGGAACAGTTGTGCGAAAACGGGACTGTATATCCAATTATCTGTCAGGGAATATGGTGCTTATTGTGAACTCTAAATGCCAATTTTGGAATAATTCCGCACAAAATTTTGTTAAAATCGGCAAAATACCGAGTATTGGAATATACCTTTTATCAAAGACGTACCTTATGTAAATTTATGCAAAAATCACCTACAAAGCATCATTTTAGAAGGGTGACGCCAAAGACAAAAATATGCTTCATCAAGCCACCAAAGAAAAGGAACCTCTATTTCCGTAATACTTTAGGAAAATTTTTGCATTAATGTTGCCAGAAAAAAGCTCGAAAATATTTCATAATTTTTCTGATAATTTTATTTTTTTGCCCTATTTTCGAGTTAATGCATGAAAGTAACATAACATTTCGTTTTAGTCCGGATGTTTCAAAGAAGAAATATTCTACCAAAAAATTCACTATCTCAAAATAAATCAGATCTCTACGTATAATAGTGTTCAAGAAAATTTCATTCGAAATTTATGTACTACTAGTGAAAATTTGTTTTCCTTTTTCTGTTAATGTAACATGTTTCTAATCCGATTCAAAATCCGCCATTATACTTCAATTTCTGGGAAAATGGAATTAAAGAATGAAATATTCTAAATCCAATTTAATATTGAGTGTCTGAACAAAAGAATTTTTTTTCAATATATACCATGAAAAATGTCAATAATTTTATCTAATAAAAATAAATAATAAAAACCTTTTTCATTTCTGAAAAATTTAGCACTTTTTCCTAGTTCGCTGCAAATTTTCTTATAATTCACAATACTTTAGCCAGTCAGGTTTGTAAAAAATTCCAAGTAGATTTGGTAGTTTTCGGTATAAGCTTTAAAATTTTATAGATATTTGGATGACATACAGAATCATTTGTACAGAAAATTGTCATAACGGTCCAGTTTTTGGAATAGCCTCCGATTTTCGATTTCGATTTCAAATTACTTATTTTTTAAAAGTTTCGGCTATGTTTTTTTCTCCAGCCCCATATTTTAAAATGGACTATGTCAGGTCCATTTTAAAATATGGGGAAGTAAATACTTACCAAGCAACAACCAAGAGCTAAAACTAATCAACTGATTTTTGTACTGAAGCTTCATAATGGTAACAAATAATGAAACCAAATAAAGGGATGATAGGCCCAAGGTAACCTACGATTTGAAAAAAAATTAAGATTTTAGATAAATTTTTTCATTTAAATAGACTGAAATTCGACATTTGTTCTGCTTAATGACTACCTTATGTCCTTGGAAAAACTGTTTATATATGTCCACAATTTAAAAAAGCTCACATAGAATCCCACCCCACATTTGAAATCTTTAAAGGGTTTTTATTTCATATATATTTTTCAACTTTTTTTCTTGGCACTTTACATTCATATTTCGAATAGGCTAACGAATTTATGTGCAAAGAATTGTCAACGTTGGTATGCTCACCATATAACCCTACGTCCGATTTGACGGGATTTTCAAGATATTGACAAAATTTCCCAACAGATTTTGATGCAATTTGGCATTTTGGGAAGAGAAACATTACCCTTTTGTTCGGGTGTAGAATCAATTCTGATTCTATTAAAAAATATTGTTCTTAAATACAGCAAAAATCACTATATCTTTATTTAATAGCAGCCACAGTTATTCCTATACAGAGTGTTTTTTCATGGTTTTTATACCCTCCAACTTCAAAGGAGGGTATATTAACTTTGTTATTCCGTTTTTTAACATCCCAAACCATTTTTCATAGACCCCATAAAGTATATATATTTATGATCAGCATAAAATTCTAAGTCAACAATTTGTGTTATATTTAGGATTGTTGGTATTGAAAATGAGATATATCGGTCCACGTTTTGGTATAGCCGCCATATAACGGCCATATAACCTTCCGATATTCGGTATTTTAATGATTTTCGCCACATTTTTTCCACAAATGAATTAGGCGAAGATTGGATTGATTTGAATTAGACAGTGAATTGGACTCAGTGTTCGAATTCCGATTACTCTTTGTGGGGATACATGAAGTGATTGGTTTACATGGATAAACCAGCAACGATTAACGGTTGGAAACCAATACTCAACGTGTCGTTGCTGAAATACACCCACAAATGCTTGAAACGGTGGTCAGAAATTGGACCTCCAGAATTACCTTTAAGCAAAACTAGCTGAGCCCGGTGCGCTTCGCTACCCTTTCGCTTTTTATATGCATTCAAAATTTTATATACAAAATTGTGGTTTTTAAATAAAAATAAAACAAATTCAAGAGTTTAAAAACGTATTTATTGTGAAGCTTTAGTATATACAATATTTATCCTTTTTTAGTTTTTCCAAACAAATGGCGTTTACAAACAAATCGATAGGTATACCCTCACGTGAACATTGCACGCACAGCTAATCATTAGAAAAGCAGGAACATGCTAAATTTAGTCCACGTACAGGAAGAGTTTGTCTTTGGGATTTATTAAATGTCATAGCAAATGCCAACCGTGCGGGAAACTGCAATCTTTTCGAACGGCAGTTTTGTAGTTATTGGAGCAATTCGATGAAGCAATACAACGGAACCTACATACTTGCTCGTAATGATGTTAGCCTCAATTAAATTATTGCACAGTTTTTTTACTGTTAGCCTAGTACCATAGCAAAGGCGTTCCTTAATAAAATAATATCCGAATTTAAATAAAATAAATAAAATAAATTGTACATACATACCGTGTTTGGGAGCTATATCCATACGTCAACCGATTCCAATATAGCTTGACACACACATATTCCAAATTTCATTGTTATCTGTCATACATATTGTTTTTGATGTATAAAAAACTTGAAATCTGGAAAAATATATATGAGAGCTATATCCAAACCTGAACCGATTGCAATATAATTTGGCAAATAAATGTTTAGACCAAATTTCATCTCACATTGAAATCGGGGATACATAGCTTGTTTGGTGCATTAAATACATGAAATCGGCCGAAAATATTTATGGGAGCTATATCCAAATCAGAACCGATTTCAATATAATTTAGCAAATTCATGTTTGTTTCGGATTCCGTTACACATTCCTAATTTCGTTGCAAATTTGAGATACATAGCTTGTTTGGTGCATTAAATACATTAAATCGGCCGAAAATGTATATGGGAGCTATATCCCAATCTGAACCGATTTCAATATAATTTGGCAAATTAATTTTCATACCAAAATTTCATCTCACATTGAAATTTCATTGAAATTGGAGTGTTTGGTATATTAAATATACCAATTAGGAACTTTAAAATCCGAATTTGAAAAATACCGAATATAGGGAGGTATCATTCTATGGGGGCTATACAAAGACCTGGACCTGCATAGACAATTTTCTGTCGCAGGCTGTAGTGCCCATTAGAAACTTTAAAAACGACATTTGATACAATTCCGGTGAATAATATCGCAAAAATCATCAATGTACCGAATTTAGGGAGGTAAAATTATATGGGGGTTATACCAAAACGTGGACCTGCATAGGGAATTGTGTCTCACAGGCTATAATAACTATTAGGAACTACAAATACGAAATTTGAAACAATTCCGGTGAACAATGTCGACAAAAGCATCAGGGGGCTATACCTAAACGTATATATACCTAATACTATGATGGAGGGTATAAAAAACTCTCAAAGAGACAGAAACGCAATTCATTTCTTTTCATTTTTGTTTGTTTACAACGAATGTTACCACGCAAGCAGAAGGGAAGAACTATAGAGCAAGAAAGAAAATGCCTCAGACAAATTGTTTCGAATTTGGACCTACGTCGTTCAGATGCTTCAAACAAAACTTCAGACTTTGAGCAGACATGTCGGACGTCCGATATTTGGTTCGCGAGGAGGGTATCGAATGCGACAACGCACAAGATCACTGAATTGTACGCACGTGATATTTTATGGCGACTGGGTAATATGTGATTTTACAATATTTAATTGAAGTTGTTATATTCCCAGTGCATCAACTATATATATATACACTAATTATTTTCTACACAATTCATAAAGAAGAATTCAACATTATCCGCTTTGCTTTATCAAACGAGATTTTGAAATGCACAAATATTGTTGGAATATGAAAATTTGTTAAATGTTAAATGAATATTTGTGGAGTTGAAGCCAAATTTGTAGCATTCAGGTTTTAGATATGTACACCACATTGCAATGCAAAGGGTAAGTTAGGTTTTAGTTTGTAACACCTCGAAATATTAGTCATTCCTCGAAGAAGTCCGCTCGTTTATTTTATCGCTAAAAAGAACCGGTTGTCCATACTTCTAGCAACATCTGAAATTTACATTTCTGATGTTTTATGGCTCATTCCCAGGTATATAGCCTTTACATTATTTTTACAATTAGTGCAATAGTAACTTCTTAAATGATCGGAAAGCTGATATATTCCTGGATGTTCTGCAATATAGCATTTATTATTTCAAGAAGCAATGACAGCGCTTTTCCGATTGATTAATGTGAGTTTCAATATTTCATTCTGTTAAAGTCTTTTTGTTTTGTGCCATCAATTTCACGTGTATCAATAATTTAAATCAACCTACAACATTCTATTATTAATATTTTTTTATTTTAAAACTAGTTTATTTCGATTATCAACCGTAAAAGCCACCACCGAAACCCGATGCTCCCGCAGAAGCTTGAGCAAAACTGCTACCACCGCCGAAACCCCCACCAAATCCAGGATAGCCACCGTAACCGCCATAACCGCCTGGGTAGAATCCACCTCCATAACCGCCAGGATAGAACCCGCCGAATCCGCCATATCCACCATAACTACGTACTTTCCGTGTTAGTACTGAATCTGTATCTACAGCTACTCCACCATCGACACTTTCCAAAGTTTCTGCGGCTTTAACACTTGGACGTGGCTGTGCGAAAGCCAAGCAAATAACTGCTGCCAACACAACAAGGGCAATGAACAATTTCATTTTGATTCTTGTTTCTATTTTTCGTTTAAAAACTTTTCTAAGAAGATAATTCTAAATGCGTTACCAAATCGCAACTTCAACAGCAACTTTTTACTACCTTGTTTTTATACCTATCGTTTCGACTAAGTCTGCCATTATGTGAAGAAGTCCAAAGTAGGAAGAACCTGATTTTAAGAGTCTCATTGTGGTATATTTGCATGTGTTTTTTTTTTTATTTTCGATCTAATTTTTATTCGATTTTACCTTTCATTGATAGTAACAGCCAAAACGCATGAAACCAATCTCTTAAGCCCATTTAAAACAACAATTATTGGGGCTATTTTTTGCAGTGAATCGTCAATTTCCATTTGAAAGCATTTGTCTAGATTTTTTGTTAATAAAAATAAGTAATTACTTGTGACAAATAGAACCAGAACGAAAATAGCAACAATTGCTTAGGATTAAAAAAAAATTAACCAAAAGATTAGTTTTTTAAGGAATGTAGAGGCCTGAAAATATGGTATCCATTCAAGTGATTTTTCAGTGCATAACATTAACAAGTAAAAAAGCTGTAAGTTCGGCCGGGCCGAACTTTGAATATCCTCCACCATTTGGAACGAACTTGGCAATTCTCAAAAACAATAAAATCCGTTAAAAAAATCTTAAAAAATGCCGAATTTAGCTACTAAATTAGGTAACTTTTGTCATAAGCCATTACAATATTCAAATGCGAAACTAAACAACAAAAATCGGTGAATAATGTAGCTAAAATCATCAAAATACCGAATATCGGGAGGTACCGTTATATGGGGGCTATACGAAGACATGCACAATTTTCTGTCATAGGCTGTAGTAGTCATTTTAAACTTCAAATACCAAATTTGAAAGAATTTCGTTGAATAATGTCGCTAAAATCAACAAAGAACCGAATATCCGGAGGTAAATACCGAATATCGGGAGGTATGGGGGCTATACCAAAACGTGGTCCTACACGACCCATTTTCAATACCAAAAGTCCTGCAGACATAATATACATTTGAGTAAAATTTTGTCAATCTACTTCAATTCGTTCGGAAGCTAGAGTGATTACCACAGACGGACAGACGGAAATTAGAAATGCGTGCTGTCATTAAATATTTACATAAAGAAGGTTTATCAGGGCAAGAAATTCATAATAATATGGTGAATGTGTTAGGTGAAAATGCTCCTTCATATTCAACAGTAAGAAATTGGGTTGCTGAATTGAAACGTGTTCGTACAAGTATTGAAGATGAACCACGTAGTTGACGTCCAAAAACAGCAACAACAATATAAATTGTAGCCAAAGTGCATGATATGGTATTAAATGATCGACAAATAAAAGTGCGTGAAAATGCTAATATCATGTACATCCCAAACGATCGAGTCCATTTAATTTTGCATGAAGAACTGCAGATGAAAAAGCTTTATGCAAAATGGGTGCCGCATGTGTTAACAGTCGATCAAAAACTCAGAAGAATGAAAATTTCTCGAGGATCATTTTAAGCGAAATAAAATTGATTTTAAGACTTCAAAAGTATTTTATTAATTGACTATCTGCAAAAGAGTAAAACAATAAATTCAATTGCAACCTTTTAGATCAATTAAATGTACAAATTTGAGAAAAACATCCAACGCACCAGCGCACAAATCCTAATATTTGCGCCAGTGCTAGGTCAGGTGCGAAAACGGACAATATCGGTCCACTCCTTCTGGTACCTCCCCCACAAAGGGTCAACATTTTAAATAGTTACAACTCTCATAAAATGTGATGTAAGAGTCCGATTGTCTTCAAAGCTCACACATCCTAACATTTATATTAACCCAAGGTCTGGTGTTAAGATATAATATATCGGTCCACTCCTTCTGGTACCTCCCCCACAAATAGTCGAAATTTTCAAAAAAAATGTATATATTTTTACACAAACGCTCAAAATTTTGAATATCCACGAAGCTCATAAAAAGCGAAATCAACACCCGATTCTCTTCCAGACATGGTACATCTAAAATATTTCCATCAACACAAGATCTGTTATAAAGATGGTAGAAATCGGACCATTTCTTTTGCTACCTGCTCTACATAGGGTTCAAGATTTTAAAAAAACAAAACAGTCAAAGAAAGCGAAGTAAGAATCCAACTCTCTTCAAATTTCAAACATACCAACATTTTTGCTAACACAAGATCTGTTGTGAAGATGCTTTATATCTGCGAACTTCTTCTGGTACCTCACTCACAAAGGAACACAATTTTCAAAACTTTTATCTGTCTTAAATTGCGAAAAAAACTCAGCGATTTCTTACAACTTGCTATATTTAATTATATGTCTCTCAATCAATCCTGAGATGAATATGGAATTTAAGATTCCCCATAAATTGGATATAAAAGTTCGATTTTCTTATGTATTCATAATAATATTTATATCATATTTTTTAGGTCCGATATGAAATGGACAATATTGACCCATTTTTTCAAAACCCACTTCATAGAGGGTCAAGACTTTGAAAATTCATAACCGATGTCAAAATATTGTTAAATAATCGAACATTGGCTGACGGTATATTTCTGTCGCAAAACCAACCGATACTTTTTTACTTGTTTGTATTGAATTATTCAAACGACCTCTTTAAATTTTCAAAGCTAAATGTTGTGAAATATATATCAAAATACACAAAATCGCAAAAGCCCCTGGGATAATGTCAGGGATATATGGCCATATAAAGGCTTTTGGTTTTTTGGGTCTTGATCTACAAATCGAGTCTCATTTTTATACCCTCCACAATACTATGGAGGGTATATTAACTTTGTCATTCCCTTTGTAACTCCTCGAAATACTCATGTCAGACCCAACAAAGTATATATATTCATAATCAGCGTAAAATTCTAAGTCGATTTAGCGATGACCGTCTGTCTGTTGTAATCACGCTATCTTTCGAATGAATTGAGATAGAAGGCTAAAATTTTGCACACATGTTTATTTTTCCAGTAGGCAGGTTAAGTTCGTGAATGGGCCATGTAGGTTCACGTTTTCATATAGCCCCCATATAACGGGACCTCCCGATATTCGGTATTTTGATGATTTTAGCAACATTATTCACCTGAATTGTTTCAAATTTGGTATTTGAAGTTCGAAATGGATACTACACCCTAAGACAGAAAATTGTCTGTGCAACTCCTCGTCTTTGTATAGCCCCCATATAACGGTACCTCCCAATACTCGGTATTTTCATGATTTTAGCGACATTATTCACCAGAATTGTTTCAAATTACGTATTTAGAGTTCGTTATAGGAACTATAGTCTGTGACAGAAAATTTTCTATGCAGGTCCAGGTCTTCGTATAGGCCCCATATATCAGTACCTCCCTATATTCGGTATTTTGACGATTTTAGGTACAATACCCACCGAAATTGTTTGAGATGTGGTATTTGAAGTTCGTAATGAAGGCTACAGTCTGTGACAGAAAATTGTCTATGCAGGTCCAGGTCTTCGCACAGCTCCGATATAACGGTACCTCCCTATATACGACATTTTGATGATTTTAGCTACATTATTCACCGTTTATTTCAAGTTTCCATTACCATATTCAAAGGTAATGGCTTATGAAAAACAATGCCTATGTAGGCTCACGTCGTATAAACCCCAATATAACGGCTATGTTTGGTATTTTTAAAATTTTAACAGAATGTTTTAAGGATTTTATTTTTTGAAAATTCCCAAATTCGTTCCAAATGGTGGAGGGTATTCAAAGTTCGGCCCGGCCGAACTTACTGCTTTTTAACTTGTTCTTTTCTTAACACTTTCCACAAAATAAAGTACTGAAGGCGATTTTGAAGTAGAATACATAATTGTTAAATTAATTGTAAAATACGTAAATGCAAAGTTTTTACCTGTAATATATAAATTTCGAAATTAAGATTTCTTTTCTTTACTAACTTATAGTGAAATTTGATGAAAAATATTTTTGTTTTCAATGTCATTCTTCTAACCTATATCTATAAAAGAGGAAAATATTTTTTTTTTTTTTTGTTTGTCTCTTTAATTTGACTTCTTCTAGAACTCATAGTAGAATTTTATGACAAATAATTTTGACATTTTGACTTGCTACGATCCCGTTTAAAAGAAGTTTTAAACCATAGTTTAAAACTTGACCAAAAAGAGCCCTCTGTTGTCAAAATATTTGTAGTGTTCTTATCTGCAATATTGCCGAAGACATGGACATAACGAATCAGAATTTGATTCTTTGAAGATCACCAAAACATGCAATGGGTCTATTCAATTTCCTACTTCATGTTACACTCAAATGCACAAAGACAGAATTCCCCGTATCATAGTTTGGTTAGGGTATAAAAAAAGCCGTACAATGTTTGTTACAATTTTTGAACAAATCTTAAGTCTTTTTTAATTTCCAAGTCTTTTGAATAGAATTGCTCGCAAAATTACTCCTTCATTATTTATTTGACTCAGGGATAGGGTATCATTTGATCGGTTTCTCATTAAATTTGTGTTATTAGGTGTGCTTTGGTATACTTTTTAAATTTTTTAGGCAGAAGATCTTAAATTGGTTCACTTTGGATTTAAAGCTACTGCTTGATATTGATATTTTGTTGATATTGCTTGATTATTCCTTTATGTATCTATATAGTATATAGAGTTTTTTTTTAATTTTAACATTTAGTTCAATACTCCTGTTCATTTCTATAGATCATTTTCAAGATCTATAACGGTTCTTTTTTAAATTAAAGCTAATAGTATTTCTATTAGCTTTAATTTAAAAAAGAGCCATTATAGATCTTGAAAATGATTCACCACTTGAATGTGGATTTGACCCAAAATCTTCATCTGGTTTACCTTTTAGCGTATTTTGATAGATTTATGTGTGAAGTTGAAATTTTAGTAGATGAATCAGTTGAAGATTTATGTTATTTGTCGGCTTTGATATTGAAAATCAATATACATTTTGTACCATAAATACATTTATTAAAACGATGCACAACATTTCATTGTAAATATTTTATTTTGCAACTACTAAAATTAGATCAACGACCGTAGAAGCCACCACCGAAACCTGATGCTCCCGCAGAAGCTTGAGCATAACTGCTGCCACCACCGAAACCACCACCGAATCCTGGATAGCCACCATAGCCGCCATAACCGCCTGGATAGAAGCCACGGCCATATCTTGGATAGAATCCTCCGAATCCACCAAAACCACGTACTTTGCGTGTTAATCCTGAATCGGCGTCTACACCTACTCCTCCATCGACACTTTCCAATGTTTCCACGGCTTCAGCATTTGGACGTGGCTGAGCAAAGGCCGAGCAAATGACTGCTGCCAACACGACAAGAGAAATGAATAATTTCATTTTGTTTTTGATTTTTGTTTAAAAAAAAATTTTTTCAAAGAAGATATTTCTAAATGCGTTACCGAATTGCAACTACTGCAGCAACTTTTTACTACCTTGTTTTTATACCGATCGTTTCGAATAAGTCTGCCATTATGTGAAGAAGTCCAAAATAGGAGGAACCTGATTTTAAGAATCTCATTGTGGAATATTTGCATGTATTTTTTTTTTATTTTCGATTTTATTTGGCTTTCATTGATAGTTGCAGTCTAAACGCCCGAAACAAATCTCTTAAAACCACTTAAAACAACAATAATTTGGGCTCTTCAATTTCGATTTTAAAGTATTTGTATAACAATTTGTTTGTTAATACAAATAAAAAATCACTTGTGACTAATAGAACCAGAAACAAAAAAAAAAAAACAATTGTTTTGCATTTTTGATAGAAGACTAAACCCAAATTATTCTTTTTTTTTTTTGGGATTCACTACAATATGGGAAATATACTGCGTATTGGTGACAAGATTTATTTTGATGTTCTTACTGCAATTCTGTGTCCAAGAAGTTGTCTATGTCTCTGCAACGTGTCTGCAAAAGAGTTTATCCTTATTCTTCTATTATTTGATCCCTAAATCACTACATCAATGTCTATAAAGGTAAGAAACTCTGCTGTAATTATTATGGAGTATGAACAACTATGACCAGAATGGACCCGTCTGACAGGTAAAAGCAAATTTTTCCATAGTTCCACATAGTGTAGCCGAACGTAACGCCTTTGTTACCTTTGTAAACTAAAAGTTACAAAACGTGCTAAATATAAATAGTGTTTGTGTGTTTTTATTAGATAGCAAATTCCGGATTTTTATTTGAATTGAATGGGTTTTGGAGAAGTCACAATTTGGGAATATATTAAAAAATATTTTTTTGGTATACAATAAACCCGAAATCGGTTCAAGATATTTACAATGGCAAATGGGAGCTATATCTAAATTTGAACCGATTCTTGTAAATGTTCATGTTAATCGGATAAGAAATGCGACCTGCATTTTGTTCACAAAAATACATGGGCAAACGGACGGAAGGACAAACTGATTGACATGAATAAATCGACTCAGGAAGTGATTCTATCCTCAAAATCAACTATGGGTCTTTCTCGCTTCTTTCTCCATGTTACGAACAAAGACATAATACCCTTACCACTATGTGTTGTAGGGACTAAGAAGGGTAAAAATAAATTTATTGAAATTTATTGATATTCAAAATGTTGACTTCTTGGGGGAAGGTGATAGAAGTAGTAGTCCAATATTTTTCAAATCGGTAGTCGACAATTTAACCTTCATCGGACACCCAATTCATTTTATATAAGAGATTCGTATGATTTTGTGAGGAAGGTACAGTTATGAGTATACCAATCTTTTCCATTTTTGCCTGAAAATTTTTATATCCTCCACCATTCTATGGAGGGTATATTAACTTTGTCATTTCGTTTGTAACTCCTCGAAATATTCATAATAGACCCTACAAAGTATATATTTTTTGGATCGAACGAATTGAGATAGAAGGCTGAAATTTTGCAGTAGGCAGGTTAAATTCGTAAAAGGCCCATGTCGGTTCACATTTTTGTATAGCCCCCATATAACGGTACCTCCCGATATTCGGTATTTTCCTGATTTTAGCGACATTATTTACCGAAATTATTTCAAACTTCGTATTTGAAGTTCGTAATGGGTACTACAGCCTATGAAAAAAAATTGTGTATGTAAGTCCACGTCTTCGTATAGCCCCCATGTAACGACACCTCCCGATAGTCGGTATTTTGATGATTTCAGCAACATTAGTCACCAGAACTATATCGAATTTCGCATTTGAACTACAGCCTATGACAAAAATTTGTATATGCAGGTCTATGTGTTCGTACAACCCCCATATGACGATACCTCCCGATAGTCGGTATTTTTACGATTTCAGCAACGTTATTCACCGGAATCGTTTCAAATCTCGTATTTGAAGTTCGTAATGGGCACTACAGCCTATTACAAAAAAATTCGTAAGCAGGTCCACGTCTTCGTAGAGTCCCCATATAACGGTTTTAATTTAAGTTGTAGTTTTCGATTTTTTTTTAAGTTGTTCAAATTCTTTCCAAATGGTGGAGGGTATTAAAAGTTCGGTCCGGCCGCTTTTTATCATCTGCTTTTTTACTAGTTTTATATAAATATTACAATGTTCAAAGTTCTAAGAATTGTTGAACTATTGTGAGGGTATCAGAAAGAGTAGGCCGATAAGCCTCATGATCACACTTGAACCGTAGTTGGAAGAAATATTGATAGCTTCGAAGTTTGAGGTTGTGCGCTATATCCCATCTTCACAGAATATCTTGTATTGGTAGTAATATTGGGATGTGCCATATGTGAGAAGAATCGGATGCTTATTTCAGATAAAGTGAATAAAATTCTAAAAGATTTTTGATAATGTGGATAATGCAAAAAATAGATTTGGGATAACGTGGATAAAGTTCTAAAAGAATTTTGATAACGGGGATAAAGCAATAATCGACTTTGGATAATTCGGATAGTTTTTAAAGAGCCTTTTGATAACGTAAATAATGATAAGATAGCACTTAGATAACGAGGATAAAATAAAAAAAATACTGTCTGAATAATGTGGATAACTCTGAAGTATACTTTGGATAACGTGGATAATGTAAATATACAATTTGTATAAATTGGATAATCCATTTCTACCATTTGGATAATACGAATAAACCATTTTTAAATGTACTAAGCATCTGGATAGCTTAAATAAAATATCAGAAGCTTTCGGGTGACATAAAAAAAAGTTTTTTTGCAGTGGATTACGCATTTTTATACCCTACAACACTGTGTGTTGGGGGTATTATAAGTTTGATTGGGCTAAAAATTATGTAACACCTCGAAATATTGGTTTCCCACATAGGAAAGTATATATGGATCTTCCTATCTCGCTTTTGGAGATGATCGCTCGATATTTAGGGGTTAAAATGGACCAAAAAAAAAATTTTTCTGATTTTGCAGTTGCTCTATAGGTCACAATTATGAACCAAACTACACGGGAATTTACATGGAGATAGAGGTCAGACCTGGGAAGAAGCCTACCAATTTGGGCGGCCATCGGGCAATATTTAGCGGGTAAAATAGACCCTGACTTTTATGTAAATAAATAGGAAATTTCCATTAAACCGCGAATATTTTTAACCGCAGCCAAATCTCAACTACATTAAAAGGTCACTCCTGACCATTAAAGTGATGCTGTTAGCCAAGAAATCGGATATATAACAAAATAGGAACAATATATATGTAAAAGAAAGAGATTTTATTTATTCTGCTCATAAGTCAAGAACCGCTGGGTCGATTTTCACAATTCCCCTCAATTCTGAATGGTCTCTGGCGGAAAATCATACCAATATATGGGCGAATATCTTTTGTTCCATTTTTTTTCAATTTATGTCATATTTTTTATCGCATGCGGTTTTTTCAATTTGACTTACAATTTTGAATTGAAAATTTTCTAAATTTTTACACTCCTTAACACTACGCTTTGAGTGTATTATATTTATATTGCAATTATCGTCCGATCCTCACGAAATTTTGCATAGGGGTAGCGTTAGGGTCAGAATTAAAGCCTAGTGTTCTTCAATTGTTCTTTTAACTAAAATTCTTTGAACTAAAAAAATTAAAATTTTGTAATTTGTAGTCGCCACACTTTGAAAACTAATCGATACGGAATTTCGCATCAGAAGAGAGTTAAGGACAGGAAATTGTTTTGAATACAACACGGCGGAGTACGTGAATATTGGCCAAATTCTCTGAGTCTGGGCACAGCTCCTTGACATTATTTCAAAACGTAACCTTCAAAAATGGATTTGGATATAAGGAAACTTCGAACATATTGTAGTGTTGTAGGGTATCACATGGTCGGCCCCGCACGACTATAGCCTTTGCTTACTTGTTAATCATTAAATAATTGTCATAAGACATTTTGATCCTTTTGATAACTTAAAAAAAATATATTTTGAGCTTTTGGATAATGAGGATAATATATTTCAAGAATAAACTGCATGAAATATTTTGAGCCTCAATATATAACTTGGATAAAATATTATGAGCTTCGGGATAAACTGGATAAAATTATTTGCAGCCTTGGGATAATTTGAATAAGATATTTAGAGGTTTTCTGAGATTTGGTGAACATTTTTGGGGTAGGTACCATTAGGAGTGTCGCGTTCCATCTAATCTTCATACCAGATCTAGAGTTGTAAGAAATATTGCGATGTGCGAAATTCGAAGACAATCAAACTCTTATTTCGCATCATTAAAGAAATATAATTATTCAAAACGTTAAACCTTTGTGCGGGAAAAATGGGATGTTATTATGCACTTTCTCACCTGATACAAATATTGATACTCGTAAAAATTGAAGAAAATCGGGTGATCCTTCCCTTTCTATGGTATAAATTATTTTTTTTGAAAATGTTGACCTTTTGTGTACCAGAAATAGTTGTCCGATATTGGCCATCTTAGCTTTGGATCTAGTAATGATATAAGGGGCGCAAAAGTAATATTCTTATCAGAAAATGCCATACATTTTACGATTGGCCCCTAATGTCTTACAGACAAAACATGGGAAGTTTACTTTTGCGACATACGCATGTATGTGTTTGACAGGCATTCTGATGTTTGGTGTTGGCTGTAATTAAGACATAGAACGATTACTTTTGCGCCATCTTGCAAATGTCTTTGAAAGCACAAAGTTTGAAAAAAATAATTAATTCATTTTCCACTTTATTATAGATATGTTCTTTATATCCTTAACCACAAGGTGGTCAGGTAATATGTCTTTGTGCATTTGTTTGTAACAGGCAAAAGGAAACGAGATAGACCCATAGTTCCTTTGATGATCTGCATAGAATCACATTCTGAGTCGATTTATGCATGTCCGTCCGTCCGTCTGTCAGTCTGTCCTCTGTCCATGTATTTTTGTAAACA